GTTTTTTTAATCACAAATACCCTGTTCTTAACCATATATTACAGTATTCGCCCAAACACAAGTCCTGGGTTCGGGGCTCCTGTTAATTTTAAACACCCCCCCCCCCCCCCCCCCCCCCCAATACAAAGGAGGATATATCTGTGCTGGCTGCGAAAAATCTATGTCGTGGTGTCTCAGTAACAAAGTTCTTAATGGATCTGGGCCTGGTGCCTTAGAGCTACAAGTGCTTCTGTGGCATTTCACATTTGGACAGGTTGGTCCTTTCGATTAACGATTAACGCAACGAATATGTTTTCCAAACTTAACCTCCTTTTAGCTTACCTGAATCCTACCGTCTTCATGCAGGAAGGTTCAACCTAATGTTTGTGTAGAGTACCTAAGGTACATGTTCTCACCGAGAGAAACTCGATATGTACTGGCTGTAAATCTTCTACCTACTGGCATCATCATGTGTCACTCTCTAGTACTGGGCCGAAGTCACGTATCCCACTTTTGCTTGTTGCCTCGAGTTACGATCCTATTTCCATATTTACAGCAGTTTCCTCCGTCAGTTCTTTCTCGAGTTAGAATTCTGATTCACTGGCAAATCACTTTCTCTAGCAACCCTCACCATAGCAACACACCACGCCCCGTTGCAACTGTTTCCGCTTTACAACCAGACGAACGCAACTTCCCATTTACCCCCCTTCAATGTCAATGCATTCTCGGTTCTACAATTGCAACTTACAATAATGTAAACCTGCATTTACTCCCACACCACACACACACAAAAACACACAAAATTCAATATTACATTCGTCTCTCTTTCGTCTGTTCTTTTGTAGACATCTGGATCCTCTCTTCACCCATCTATCATCTACCTTTCCATTACATTCACATCAATTGTACCACAGTGACACAATACACATATTGTAGTCAATTTAAGTTGACTTAAGTTGGTACAATGGCGTACAAACAGCCCCTGGCTGAGCCAATTGCAGTCGTCGGCGTAAGTTGTCGATTTGCTGGTGGTGCTACGTCACCAACAAAGCTCTGGGAAGTGCTTTGCAATGCTCCAGATCTCTCCCGAGAAGTTCCCCCTGAGAGGTTCAACGCTACGGCTTTCTATCATCCCGATGGAGAGTACCATGGTACAACAAATTCTATCAAGGCATATTGGCTAGACCAAGATCACCGTGCCTTTGATGCTGGTATGTTTCATATCACGCCAAAGGAGGCAGAAGCTGTCGACCCTCAACAACGCCTAGTACTAGAAGTCGTCTATGAGGCCCTTGAATCAGCTGGATACACTCTGAACACCTATTCTGGGAAGAATGTTGCTGTTTTCTCCGGTGTGATGACTGCTGACTATGATACCCTATCTCAGCGTGACGACCTGTTCACGAGTCAGTATTACGCAACTGGCAATGCTCGTTCGATTATTTCGAACCGAATCTCGTACTTCTACAACTTCCAGGGCCCATCTATGACCATAGATACCGCTTGCAGTTCAAGCTTGGTGGCTCTCCATCAGGCTGTCTTGAGCTTGCGTTCAGGGGAAAGCGTTATGGCGTGTGTAACAGGCACAAATATAATGATGACTCCGGAGCAATTCCTCGTAGAGTCCAGTCTACACATGCTGAGTCCTACAGGTAAAAGCCGGATGTGGGATGTAGCAGCCGATGGCTACGCACGTGGAGAGGGTGTTGCAGCCTTTCTTCTTAAGCCCCTTTCTCGAGCCTTGGCAGAGGGCGACCAGATCACCGCAATTATCCGCGATACTGGAGTCAACTCAGACGGACGAACGAAGGGAATTACGTTGCCAAACCCTCGGGCCCAGACCATCCTTATCAAAGATACATATCAGAAAACAGGCTTGAATTCACTGGAACCTGACGATCATTGCCAATACTTCGAAGCTCACGGCACCGGTACACCCGCGGGTGATCCTAGAGAAGCTGAAGCCATTTATAATGCCTTTTTCGACGATAGCACAAGCCTTACTCATGATTCTAGGACTAAACGCTTATTAGTCGGGTCGGTCAAGACTGTTCTTGGGCATACCGAGGGCGCAGCTGGGTTGGCTGGATTGCTCAAGGTCATCGAAGCTATGAAGAACAATGCTGTCCCACCAAACCTGCATCTTGACAAAATCAATCCTACTGTTGAACCCTTTTGCAAACACCTTGACGTACCGATAACTTTAGTTCCTTGGCCTCGCCCACCCATCGGTCAGCCGAAAAGGGCGAGTGTCAATTCATTTGGATTCGGAGGCGCCAACGCCCACGTAATCGTCGAATCGTACGAACCATCAATTCACGATGAAATCTACAAGAAGAATGCTGGAAAGAAGTCGAAGTCGTCGGGAAGGAAGTCGGGAAATATGCAATCAATGGTAAAGATTGGGGATACCTCACTCTCTTTGCCTCTTCTCCTATCCGCTGGCTCACAGAAATCGCTGCAAGCTGTCATTGCCTCTTATAGAGACTATATTCTACAACACCCAGATGTTGACCACGCTCAACTAGCTTGGAGTTTATATTCCCGTCGAACGGCTTTGCCATATCGAATCTCAGTGTCAGCAAGCTCATCAGCACAAGCACTTCAGGTTTTCAACGATATTCTCAAGCCAACATCGAGCATCACAGGGATTCGGAGCGCCACTTCGACCGGGCGCCCGAAGATCATTGGCGTATTCACCGGTCAAGGTGCACAGTGGACTTCGATGTCTAAGTCTCTGTTTTATACCAGTAAAGTATATTGCAATGCTATCCGCGGCCTTGATAAGATATTGGGTTCTTGTCCTCACCCCCCTAACTGGACACTGGAAGAACAGATTCTGGCAGAAGAGAGTGAATCCCGTGTGGATATCGCTGCCGTATCCCAACCTCTTTGTACCGCGTTGCAAATAGGACTGATAGACCTTTTGCAAAGCTTGGGCATCAACTTCCACACTGTAATCGGACATTCTTCTGGGGAGATTGCGGCCGCATATGTAGCAGGAAGACTTTCAGCACGGGATGCGATATTGATCTCGTACTATCGCGGTTACTTTGCACATCTAGCCGGTGGCCAGGATGGTCAAAAGGGTGGAATGCTTGCAGCAGGGATATCTGAGGCCGAAGCTTTGGAATTTTGCGAAAACCCCATGTTCAAAGGCAGATTGCAGATTGCCGCGAGTAATGCACCATCTAGTGTTACGCTTTCAGGCGACATCGAAGCGATTCGCTTGGCTCATGACGAGCTAACCAGGGAACTGAAGTTCGCGAGGTTACTCCACGTCGACTCGGCCTATCATTCGTTCCATATGGTCAAATCCGGAACCAAATACGTCGAAGCTCTTCAGGGCAGCGGGATTGTGACTGCTTGGCAAGGCAACGAAGTTATCTGGATTTCTAGTGTCCATGGCCGAGTTATGAATGGAGAAAAGCTTGGTATTAGCTACTGGAAAGACAATATGGTTAACATGGTACGATTCCACGATGCCGCCGCAAACGCGATTTTGCAACAAGGCCCATTCGATTGTGCCTTGGAAGTTGGGCCTCATCCAGCTCTTAAAGGGCCTTTTACGCAGACTGTGAAGTCTCTTGGGCACGACATTCTTTACTTGAGTCCGCTAGAACGACATAAAGACGACTCGTTAGCCTTCGCCCACTTTCTCGGAGGCCTGTGGTCTCATTATGGCACTGAAGGAGCTGATCTTCGGAAATATATTGAGAACTCACCCGAATACGGCGTCCTCAGCACACGTCTTACCAATTTACCTACGTATTCATGGGATCATTCGCAGATTTACCATCGAGAATCTAGAATTTCGCGTCAATTCCATTACAAGACCGCCCCGCCGCACGAGTTGCTCGGCGCTCGAACTAGAGACGATAATGAGCACGAGCTACGATGGCGAAACATACTGAGACTAGAGAAGTTACCCTGGGTAGAGCATCACAGCTTCCAGGGCCATGCTCTTCTCCCCGCTTCGGCGTATTGTATTATGGCGCTAGACGCAGCGCGTACCATCATCAAAGATAGACCTGCCTCGTTGGTTGAACTTCATGACTTACAGATTCTGAGCGGAATCAATATCGAGCGCGATTCTGCAGGCGTCGAAGTGATGTTCACTCTTAACATCCTCCCACAGAGCAAGGGCGGAAGTACGAATTCGACAGTGGAGGCGAACTTCAGTTTGGTATCTTGCCCTGCTGACGGAACAACAACTATGCGGTTGAACATGGTCGGACACCTTAAGATATACCTAGGTGAGCCTACTCTGGGTGCTCTGCCGTCTCGATGTGCTTCTGAGTCGGAGGCGTTCAGTGCGACCCCTGAGTCTTTCTATAAGATGATGGCGCAAATTGGATTGGCGTATACTGGGCCATTCAAGGCACTGGAATCCATCCAACGTCGTTACAACTACTGTAGTGCAACTTTAAAGCGCCACCACGCGGAAGACACGACGACGCTACCGATTAGTCCTGCCACACTCGACAGTTGTTTCCAGTCAGCGTTCTTGACGTATGCTTTCCCAGGTGATAGGTGAGTCCCCCCATAAAACTCCATAACTTTTACATTTCGAATCAACTAACATTGGGGCTCAACAGGTCCCTTTGGACTTCTTTCCTCCCCGTACATATTGATCGAATGCGCTTTAACTTGACAACGAGTGAGAGCGATGGTTTGATTGTGGATACTCACATGGTAGATATCCAACCCTCGATGACCAACACGAAGGCTACCTTCGATGTTGATATAAGTATATTCAACGAGAATGAAGACATGGAAATTCAAGTCGAAGGACTGACAGTTGCCGCTTTGGCACACATTCAACCAAAGGATGACTATGAGCTGTATCTCCATACTGTCACGGATATGGACCCCAGCGATGAGATCATTCGCGCAGACGGGGTGTCTGCTATCACGTACAGCCCACACGATCCAGTACTCGTAGAGAGTTGTGCGCGCGTAGCTACGTTTTTTGTCAGACAACACCATGATGCCCATGCGCAGCCATCGGATCTCAGTCTCTACTATGAGAAGTTGGCGAAATCGTTCCCAATAATCTTGGGGACTGTAGGCCCTGAATGTTGGTCTTCTGACACGAAAGAGAATATCGATAAGTTCGTGGAATGTTCAAACTACTATGACCGTTTGAACTTGATTCGCACGCTCGACAATTATGAACCGGGCTTCGTGTTGGATGTTCTCCAAGCTCTTGCAGGCGAGACGAACTACCTGACCTACTCCCACCAACACGTGGGGCGGATTGCGAAGCAGATTGCCCACCAACACGCCAGGATGAATATCCTCAGTCTGGCTGGACAGGAGATTGAACTTCTTGTTGAAGTCCTGTCGGCCCTCGATTCGTCGTATTCTTCCTTCACTATCGGTACACAAACGACTCAGAGTCTAGGCCAGCACGTCAAATTGGAAAGCTCTTCTGGTAAACTCATTCGTTCATCGCTGGATTTCGCAGGGGACATTAAGACTCAGCTCGGACCGGACAACGTTTACGATTTGGTTTTGCTGTCGGCCTCAGAACTTGAGAATGAGCATGCGTTTGAAATGTTGAAGAGTGTACGTGCTATTATGAGACCAGGGGGTTTCTTGGTTGTCGTACAGTTCCCCAAAAGCCAGGTGAAATACCGGCTACCTCAAATCTCAAAGGGTCGGGGTGATAGAGCCGAGGCGCAAACGCCACCCCAGTGGCCTGACGCTCTCGATACTTATGGCTTCATTCAAGTCGCAAAGCACTGCAACCAGTCCTACTATGCGGGATACTCGATAATGGTCCGACAATTGACTTCTCCCGAGCTAGAGCTTGTGAAGGAACCAACAAGAACTGAAGGTAGCATTATCGCAGACCACCTTCTTATCATTGGCGGTAATGGTTCATCTAGCACTCCTATTGCTAAGACATTAGCGCAACGTCTCTTGCCTTTATGCAATAAAGTCTCTTTCCGAGCTACTTTTGATAATGTTGATTCAGATGTCACAGGTGGCTGTACGGCTGCTATCATCCTAACAGATCTTGACAAGCCATTGATGTCGAACATGACACAGCGGACGCTTGATCGGCTGCGAGAACTACTCAAACCCAACATGAAGGTCATGTGGCTCACGTCCAATGCACGTTTTGGAAATCCCGACCACGCTGCCACCTTTGGATTCACGCGTACAGTTTCGGCCGAAATTCCTAGCTTGACCTTGCAGATGCTTGATCTAGATCAAGTTGTTGGATCTGGGGATCTCGTAGCCGACAACTTTATCCGCCTTATGATGACTGATGAAGACGATACTAGCGCTCTCCGGGTTGATGAGCGAGAGATCCATATTGAAAATGAGAGGCGTATCATTCCTCGTGTTATGCCCCTGAAGGCGTCGAATGACGGGGTCAACTCTATGCGGCGCGTGGTTTCGAACTATGGCAACACCCTCAGGGAGTCTATCGAAGTTATCCCATGTGCCCTTCCTGGTGGCCTAGTCCGCTATGAGACTAAACTTCAACATGCCAATGCTCACAATCGACATCTTAACCAGGTCTCAGTTCGGCTAGATTACAGTTCGGTGGTAGCTCTAAGTCTCAACAGCTCGGCTATGGCATATATGTGCCTAGGTCAAGACATGGCTACCGGCGAATGTGTGATGGCTATGTCTCAGAAAAATACTTCGTATGTTCAACTTCTGGAAGAGCAAGTGCATCCCATCGGGTCGGGCGCCAATATTGGACCTCGTCTAATCTCGCTCTCTATGAGATATTTGGTGGCCGACATGGTTGCAACTCAAGCTGGAAAACGACGTGTCGTTCTCATCGATGCCGATCCGCTGCTTGTTGAGTGTGTAAAGGAAGTTGTGATAGGTCATGTAACTTGCTATACCACCGCGTATTCAGAGAAAGGTGGCGCGCATGGTCCTTTATTCCTACACCCGCATGTATCAGCTAGGGATATCAAGGGCATGTTCCCGCCATCGGGTGCGGTCGTATTCGACTTACAATCACAGGAACGTACTAAGTTATCACAGGAAATTTCAAACTTGCTCCCGAATAATTGCAAGTACTACTCTCGTAGTACTCTATGCACTCTATTAGGCCCTCGCAACGTCCCTGAAGTGAATACGCAGCAGGACTACTTCTGGAACACTGGTTGGAGAGTGGCGGTTATCAGAGCGTTAGGTTCGAATATTACCAACCCGCACAGACATGTGGACTTCGAGGCCGTCTCTCTCTCGGCCCTACAATCGTGCACCGAGATTCCATCGTCGCTATTCCGCATCATTGACTGGAGAGCTGATCGTAACGCTGAGCTCACTACTAAGCACTTTATTACGGAGCAACTCTTCCGCGCAGACAGGACGTACGTACTAGTTGGGCTAACCAAAGACTTTGGGCAAAGCCTATGCTATCTGCTCCTCAAGTATGGTGCCCGCAACGTTGTCCTGGCGAGTCGCAATCCGAAGACGGATCCCAAGTGGATAGGAGAACTATCACACTCTTATGATGCTAAGATCGAAGTGCGCAAATGCGATGTCACCGACCTCGCCAGCGTACATGCATTCAGGGATGGCCTATCTCAGACCATGCCTCCAGTCGGTGGCGTAGCCAATGGTGCTATGGTTCTTGATGATCGCGTCTTCGCGCAGATGGATATTGACACGTGGGAACGAGTACTAGGTCCCAAGACTGTTGGTTCTCAGAATCTACACACCGTCTTTAACGACCCGAATCTTGAGTTTTTCATAATGACATCGTCCTTCGCCGCCATCGGTGGCCACCCAGGCCAATCTAACTATGCCACGGCCAATATGTACATGAACGGATTAGCAGGTATGAGACGTCGACTTGGGCTTGCGGGCTCAGTGTTGAACATCGGCGTCATTTACGGCCTCGGCTTTCTACAGCGAGAGAAGGAGGAGCTATACGCCGGCCTGGAACGTGAGGGATATCCGCCAATCTCCGAGCGTGACATCCACCATATGTTCCTCGAGGCCGTTATCACGGGCCGTCCCGGACAGGCATCTCCAATGGACCTTACGACTGGCCTTCGCCGATTCGATCCTTCTGACCCAAACCCCTTGCATTGGCACCAGGACCCAAGATTCGCCCACTATACCCGCCAGGAAACTGAGGACCCAGTTGCTGCCACGGCAGGCACACGCAAAAGCCTCAAGGATACTATCGCGACCCTCGTGGAACTGGATACCGTCTCTCAGGCTATTCTAGTAGCATTCACGGAGCGATTGCAGACGCTCCTTCAGCTGCCCATAGAGGCCATATGTCCGAGCCAGAGTATTTCTGAACTGGGCGTAGACTCGCTCGCTGCAGTTGAGATTCGCGGATGGATCTTCAAGGCGATTGGCAAAGATGTATCCGTGATCAAGCTGCTCAGTGGTACCAGTATCCGGAAGCGTAAGTTGAGACCCCTTCTACTAACAATTTCTCTTTCTTCACTGGCTAGCTACTCTTTCGGCTTCTTCGTCCGCATTTGATAAACAGCATACTAATAGATATAAATAGTGTGTGCAGAGCTTGCTGAGCAGATTATAGCTGATCGCAGCAACGAAACGAAAAAGGATATAGTATAAACGAAATCATTCACTTATACTTACCTCACACGACCTTATTATCTTACGCCAAGCACAAGCTACGATAAACATGATTACCGTTGGAGGAGCCTTGCATGAGGAATCCCGGTGTGAAGGCTAAAAGGAGGGGACAGGTATTTCGTCTTGTAATTTTTAATGGATGGCGGTGTTTTTATGTGACGGGTGTTCTCGGAAGGATACCTATTTGCTTTAGACCACAGGTAAGGATTTCAAGTGCATAGCCTGGAGACCGCTGTATCACTAATGTAATTTTCTGCTCTTTGCTTTAACCTCATGATTGCATTCAAAAGATAACCTGTGTCTGGAAAAGTGTGTTTCGACCGTTTGATGGCAGGCAATAGCTTTTCAGCTTTAATAACGATGAGAGAAACTACTGAACATCATGCTTAGCCGTTCTAATTGAGACAATTGTACTTATTGATAAATATACTAGCTCAATACCTGCTTAGACTCGCTCATAAACTCGTGTACCCAGCAGATTCGTTCATATTAAATTCACACGTAACAAGGGCTTAAGTTTGCCGTGTCGTTTCATTACCTACAGTAAAGCTGCCACGCTCTACGCCTTCTCCAACCTCTTAGCCACGGTACCCCAGTTGACGACATTCCAGATGGCATTGAAGTACTCGGCCTTGCGGTTCTGGTATTGTAGGTAGTAAGCGTGTTCCCAAGCGTCAATACCTAGTAGCGGGACATGGTTTCCAATGACCGGGTCCTGGTTTGCTTTGGTGATAACCTGTAGGGTACCAGCAGACTTGTCCTTGACCAGCCAAGCCCAACCGCTTCCTTGGATACCTGCTAGGGCTGTGTTAATCTGCTTCTGGAGGGTTTCAAAGGAGCCGAAGTCCTTGTCGATGGCGGACTTTAAAGAACCTTGGGGCTCACCACCGCCTCCCTTATTGTTCGGAGCTAGGTTCTCCCAGAACAGAGTGTGGTTCTTGTGTCCGCCACCGTGAAAGTTGAGCAGGGGAGCAGCAGCGGCTGCTTGGATCTCGTCGCCCTTGGCCTTAGCTTCTTCAATGGTCTCTAGTGCGCTATTTAGGCCGTTGACATAGGTCTGGTGGTGGCCCTTGTGGTGGAGCTCCATAATCTTGCCGGAGATGTAGGGTTCAAGTGCGCCATAGTCGTCTGCGCAGCTGGTATTAGCCAATTGAGCTTACACATAATGAATAATTGGTATGCAACGTACAAGAGAGGTCGGGTAAGGTTGCTTTGCCTCGGACGAAAGAGGTGCTGGCCAGCGCGGCGACGCCGGGTTTCATGGAGCTTGCGCGCAAAGCTGCTCGCACAGTGGGAGCTGTTCGGAATAGTGTCGTCGCCATCTTGAATTGCTCTATTCTGTAAATTCTAAATATTGTGTGTGGTTTCTAACCTGTAAAAGCTTTTTGCACTTATAGCTAATTAGGAGTGAAGACAGGTAAATTTGGTAGGGAGAAAAATCGTGTAAAAGAAACTGCTGGAAACTGTTATAGAGATATCTCGGCCCTGCTACTGCCGGACCGGAAACAACCCAGCCATTTATGTTGCGATACTGCAGCGGGAATGATGTCAACTACATGTAGGTACCTCTTAGCCACTTCTACATATCAGTTACAAGAGACCGAGGAAGCTATGTCCGAGCTGTCAACTGCGGGGCATAGGAGCTATCGGCCTCCGAATTGGGACGAAGGGAAGGAACATCCATGGAAAACTTTGGTATGATTATGCAGCAAGCTTTCGATCAGTATTCCGTCATCTGGAATTACTTTCACGTTACATATGGGCACTACGTGTAGTTTTGCACTTTAAATACGGTGCCGCACAGTGTTCACGAACAGTCTGAGCTATTACATGAAGCAAGGCATGGCACGTAAAAAAACGCGTCTTGCCCCACCAACAGCTTCAATATTCTAGGTAATCTTTCCGAAGGAATTATACGTCCAAACTCTGGAAATTGATAAGGTAATTGATAAGGTAAATGATAAGGTAATTACGTAAAAAATACGCGGTAATTGATAAGGATGCGCGCGCGCGGAGCGCGATCGCGCCTTCGGAAAGATTACACGTGCGCGCTTGCGCGCACGTAAAAACGGCCCGCGAGCTTGCGAGCGGCCGTTTTGATAAAATTTTAAGTACAACTAATAAGTGCATAATCATGTAACTAAGGTATGTTATTTTATCGAGAAATGAAGAAGCATCTTCCATCCACTTCTAAGGGCGTACGCACAACATGTCCTATTACGACATAGATGCGATACTTACTGATGCTGAAGTAAGTCCAAGACTTGAGTACCCTCTCTGTACCCTCTTTATTCTCCAACTAACCTCTTCGCAAGAAAGTTCCTTGTAAATTCGAGCTCGAGGTACCCGAACTCGGTTATCTCGACAACAACCCTTCGCAACCGTTAAAGACCGGCACCTCGGTCGGCCTGCCGCTATGGCTTGCCGAACCTCTTGCTCTCACGAGTAGGTCGCCAGGCAGTTCAGAAGAAGGTTCAAGTTCGTTTGTCTCCCTCGACCTCCCTTCTTCGCTATCCAATGAGGTCATGTCTGCCTTAAAAGCCGATCCCCGAGCCGTACCCCTCCGCGACCAATCCCAGAATTTCTACGGCCTCGGAACCCGCATGCTCGATGTCTTCGAAGAAGGGGAGATATGTGCAATCCTCCGGAAAACCTTCGTTACGAGAGCCACTGATATCGCCCTCCACGCTAGGAAAGCTGGCGCCACCGAAGATATGGGCGTCGGCACTGGTGAAGAATTCTTGAGAGGGTTAGAAGAATGGGAGAGGAAGCTGTTTAGGAAAGCTCATGAGGGTACTAAAGGGGCTAAAGAATGGATGGAACGCGTTAAGAAGCATTGATGGTCTAACCAGTTTTCTCCAATGTACGATGGCACAGTGGAATGTTATCTACTTGGATAGATTGCAAGATGGCTTCTATTACGTGAAACTATTGGTATGATTATTATGATATTTGTAACATCACCATCTTGTGGTCAGTACCATATCAACTTGGCTATAGGGAGGCCTAAATATCATATATATCGTACGTTCGACAATTGTCTTTTACTAGGTAGAATAACCGAAATCACCAGGTAAGTAAGTGTTGTGATGTAGATTCAGTATTAATTTAATATCCTCATTGATACCATCAAGAGGTATGTACCTATGTACTTACATAAGCAGAGTGCATGAGCATTTAAATGCATGTGGCTTATCGATACATTTGAACATGCATGGCAACAGCTGCTTTATGTACATACGTAAATGTATTCAGGTAGCTACCTACCTAATTAAAACAATAACTTCAATTATGTACCCAGCAACATTTCTTTCAAAAGTTCCCATACAATCGACCTAGCAGCATGTCCTTCGATCCGGGTAGAATATCCAAGGCTGATGCAGCTGCCTATTCCTCTTCATCATCTGACAACGAGGATGAGGATGAATACCTGCAGCCTTCTGTCAACCCGCAAGCCGACGAATTCTTCGACCTGAACCCTCGCAAACGAAGACGAACCGGTCGCAACGCCAAGGAAAGCGCCGCCCTGGGAATATTCGGGTCCGACAGCGAAGATGATGGGCCCGGGAAGAGGTGGAAGTCTAAAAAGGATTTGCGCCATAAGAACGTGGCATTCGTTTCCGCTGGCCAGGAAGACCTGAACCAAAATTTAAACGATGAATCTATCGAAGAAGATAATAAAGGCCAGGAGGAAGGTGAAGATGAAGAACAGTTTAACAGCCGGCCTGGCTTAGGTGCCAAACCAAACCCCTCACAAATACAAGAAGACAGCGATGAAGACGACGAGGATGAGGATATGACAGGAGTCGGTCTAGGGTTCGGTGCCACCTCACATGGACTAGGTTGGGCGCCTCCTGCTATGTCGCAAAGCATTCCCGTCGCCGGCGAGACACCAAGCAAACCGCCAAAATTCAAATCAAGATACGATGGGAGCACACCTCTTGGGAAAGGGTTCGTCCCTTCGTCCGCAAACGAGCCTGTCCTAAAAGCGAATCTCGACGATGACCCTTCCTCAGCACCCCAAACGCCTAAGTCGAGTGCCTTCAGTGGTAATAAAGCGAAGTCCTTTGCGGCTCGAATGATGGAGAAGATGGGCTACGTCGAAGGGCAAGGTCTGGGTGCCGAGGGCCAGGGACGAAGTGGCATAATTGAAGCAAATTTGCGTCCACAGGGCGTTGGCCTTGGCGCTGTCAGGGAGAAGTCGGAAAAAGAACGTAAAGAAGAAAAGCGGCAAGCCCGTATGCGAGGGGAGGAGGTTATTGACTCGGATGAAGAAAGAAGGGCAAAGCGCGAGAGGAGGAAGAAAAAGGGCTCAGACAGTGCAGTCGGTAGCGGCGCGAGCACCCCAAGGAAGCCCAAGACGAAATACCTAACTGTTACCGATATTAAAAAAGCCGCACCGGGACTACAAATTCCAGACGCCTTTACCCCAATATTAGATCTCACCGGGCGAGATCAAAAGCTACTGACGTCTAGTTCGGGGTTATTAGCTCCTAAGGCTGGTACCGAGCTGGCCACGCAAACGGAAGAACATAAACTAGCAAGGCGCGCTCAGGGTGATCTCGCAGCCTTTGTCGAAGAATGGAGAAATCTAGAGGAACAAAAGGCATGGCTTGCTATAGAGGAAGCTCAGCACCAGCAGGAGCTTAATGAACTAGAGAGCAACTTTGCAGGACTCAATGTTTTCTCGGCTGTCTTAGATGGAGTCAGCCAAGCTGCTCATAATAGAGATTGGGACATGGTAATATCTGGGCTTAAGAAAGCCGAGTCTGCAGCATCAACTCACGGTGACGAAGAGCTAGCCGCCCTTGCGGTCTCCGCTATTCATCCTTTCCTAAGGGATGCTACTCAAGGGTGGCAGCCGCTGGAAGATCCAAGCCTGGGCAATTTTGCTTCCGACCTCTCTAATATTCGGGGACTACTAGGCCTTACTAAAACCACCAATCAGAATACCATCACAAAGTGGCAAGATACCGAAATTGATGGCACACATCGTCATCACGTGAGATCAACAACACCTTGGGAGACCATGATCTACCAAATACTCTTTCCCAAGCTTGTAACGGCTATTTCCCAGACTTGGGATATTCATGATGCGGTACCGCTCCTAGACTTTTTCGATAAATGGGAACAGCTTCTACCCGAATTCGTCCGCCTGCAGCTCATTGAGCAAGTAGTAAGGCGACTCGAAGCTGGAATTAATAGCTGGAAGCCAAAGAAAAGGCACGAGAACTTGCACATATGGCTATTTCCTTGGCTCCAGCATCTTCCAGTCCATCATTTGGAGCCCAAGGGAACCGGACTAGTAGGAGAGGTGAGGCGTAAGTTTAGGCAGCTGATTGACGCTTGGGATTTTTCCAAGGGCGTGGTGCCTGGTCTCAAGCAGTGGAAAGACGTATTTCGCCCGACCAGGGAACAGGATCAATGGAGGCCTTTGGTTATGCACCACCTCCTTCCAAGTCTCTCCCGATATCTACGAGTTAATTTTCGCGTCGACCCAAGCGACCAAGAACCGTACCTCGAAATGCTCAACGGTGTTTTGAAGTGGACAGATGTCATCTCTACATCTCTGGTAGGGGAAGTCATAGTTTCGGAGGTGTTCCCTATGTGGCATGAGATTCTCTACCAGTGGCTCACCAGCGCAGACGCCAATTACGAGGAAATTGGTGCCTGGTTCGAATGGTGGAAGGATCAGGCGATACCTAATGAGATCTCATCTCTTCCAAGCGTTTCTGCCGAATTTGAAAAAGGCACTACCATGATCGAGACTGCTCTTGACCTTGGCGCAGATGTGAAGAATCAACTTCCTCGGCCTGATGGGCGCCCTGCCCATCAACCGAAGACCCGCTCTCATAAACCGAAAGCAGACAAGAAACCTGTGCCCATACCCCTGCCGCAACAGCCTATAGACAAACCAGAGCCTACGTTCCGCGACGAAGTAGAGGATTGGTGTCAAGAGAACGACCTTCAGTTCATTCCGGTCCGGAAAGCTAATGAAGAGGGCAAGCATTACTTCCGTATTACAGCTCGTATGGATGGCAAGGGGGGTGTTTTGGCATACTTCAAAGGCGGCGATACACTAGTCGTCGAGTCTCGAAAGACTAACCTGGAGTTGAAACGGGATGTCAAGGAAGACTGGGGCCTATTGCTCGAGCCTCTATATCAAGAAGTAGAGCAGGGAGGGAGGAAGTAAAGATACCTGTATCGATTATGAAAGTCCTACCTAATGAGGGGATAAAAAAACAGGATGGTACCAACTAGACTACGCAGGTAATTGTCTGCTCGCTATCATATATCTTCACGGCGATAACGTGATGCAAGTATATATATTACATATTTACGCTACGTGTGAGCTCGATGAGGAAAACAGCTAAACATTGAATAACCATTGAACCCATTGAGGTAGATATACCTACCCAACATAAGGTAGCATATACGTATGTGCATTATTGTGTACGGCAAGCTCTTCCTACCCGTGAAAGTGTACGTTACGCCAACGAGGTCTACGGAAGCCACCAGCCTCTAAAACCTCGGCTTACCCTTTCCTATGAAGCTTTCCTTCTAGGAAGCTCCTACCGGCGCCATTGTTCTTTTCAACGTTAAGTTATATCTCTCATCCCTATCTCTATTTCGTGTCCTTCGCTTCTCCCCTTCACCAGCTACTCGTGAGTATCGATCGTTTAGTTTTTGTGGCAACATCACTCATTTTTTAGCTGGCTTCTATGCTATAGAACAAATCCCGTTCTCTATAACATTAAATATTCTCTACGACTAGCTTTTAGCTGCTCAACCTTTATTGTTAGAGTTACCATGATCGGCCTCGGAAAGCTAGCACTTTTGGGTTCCGCCATATCAAGCTTTGTTTCGGCACGTTCAATTATCTTTCAAGAGGCAGATAACTCCAATCACAACTACAGGCGATATATTGTTACTCTCAGAGATGGATTGGACGCTTCTGCCGTGGAACAACATATACAGCGAGCAGCTGGTATACATGCCCGCAGCAGCTCGCCATTAGTAGAAATGGGAAGACGATGGAACATTGGATCCTGGAACGCTTACTCGTGTACCATGGATGGCGACACATTCACCCAGATTAGCAGCGATGATGCCGTGGAGTTGATTGAAGATAACGGCACAATCTCTCTAATGAAGCACACAGTACAGACAGACGCTCCCTGGGGCTTAGCTGACATCTCTCATCGGACAGCGAACAATACGGACTATGTTTATGACTCAAATGCTGGCGAAGGCACGTACGCATATATACTTGACACTGGGTTGCTGACTACGCACGAGGAATTTGAGGATCGTGCTTGTTTGGGCTACAACGCTGTTGGTGGCATATTTGCAGATGACGTTGGTCATGGGACACACGTCTCGGGTATCATCGCCGGAAAAAATTAGTAATTTCAAGCTACATCCAGTTTATAATAGTTATATAATTGCTGACTATCCTATAGTGGCGTCGCCAAAAAAGCAAAGCTTGTTTCGGTCAAAATCTTCGCGAATGCCAGGTCCTATACTTCGGATCTTCTCGAAGGAATTCATTGGGCTGTTCGCAACATCACCGCCGAGAATCGTCAGAGTGTATCAGTCATCAACATCAGTGCAGGCGGGGATACCAGAGAAGCTGTTAATCGAGCAGTTGAGGAAGCATATAAACAAGGTGTGTTAACAATCGTAGCTGCTGGAAATTACAATGAAGATGCCCGAAATTATTCGCCAGCATCTGCGCCATCTGCCGTCACTGTTGGATCTATTGGAAGAGATCACACACGCTCCTTTTTCAGCGACTGGGGTGAACTAGTCGATATTTTCTCACCGGGCGAGGATATCACGTCTGCGTGGATTAAAAACAACCAAGATACAGCTTCCCTCGACGGCACAAGCATGGCTACACCTCATGTGTCTGGCCTCATCCTATATTTGAAGAGCGTTATCCCTTACCGAATGAAAACCCCGGGCGACAGTGTCGATGTTCTACGGGAGCTAGCGACGGACGGGGTTGTCGGGGATCCTAAAGGCTCCAAGAACTTACTAGCCTTTAACGGCAACGGAGTAGTCATGTTCACGGGCGATTTAACGAAAAGCCTAGCCAATGTAGATGGCA